TGATTGACGATTTCAGGATTCGCGCATTCATATCGATGTCATGTGTCCCACCATGGCAGTTGTTGATACATTCTCCTGGTTACCAGAGCGCATTTCTATGTCCTCTGAGACCCATCAACTACCGTCAGTGCTACCTATCACTTATCCTGCCACTTCATATTCCCCGCGTTCTTGAGCGCACTATAACTGAGTACAGTTCGGTTCCACTACTTTTATAAACTACTGCATTCGCATATCCGTCCATCATTCACAGCACAAAGAGTGTATGACACTTTCACACAAGTTGCACCTAGACATCGGGGGAATGGAATGCTACACAAATGTCTAAAGTCATCGTACACGCCTAACAGTGCCGCAAACGGTAACAGGTTGCCTAGACAGACGGACAACTTGACTTGGACAGACATACCAGGAAATACCTGGATAAAGTACCAACTCGCAAAATGAAGCAGATGCTAGGTCTGAGAAAATAGGGGCCAGTAAACAAAAGAATGTTTGACACATTTTAGAATTTACCAGGCAAAAAGTAGATATCACAGGCAAATATAATCTGCCTAACTGGAACTGTTTCTCATCAAGTCCAAACAGACTCTGAATTGAATGCGGGACGAACAGATCTTGACAGACGCGGTTGCTCTAATGATACCCCTGGGCCTTTTTCTGGATATCGTATTGCACCGCAAGATTTATTGGTTACAGCCGCAAAAAGCAAACCAAAGCTCGTTTATCACGACGCTATCGAGTGCAGGCGTCTAAGGTATACCTGGTTATCGATCCGATCACTGGATGTCCTATGTGCCCTGAATCCCGCTAATAAAAGAGAGTAACAGGGTTGTTGAGACAAACACTAAACAAGCACATCTGTCCACTAAGGTCTAGTGAGCTCAAACTTTATACAGCCGATTGTTCGCCATAAGCCTCTCTAGTTACTTTATCTTTGGCGTCTGGCACTCCAGTTGACCAAAAACTGTTTGTGGCCACTTCAGCGTGCTTGCAATTGCAGACTTTTCTACTGGACCAATCGCTTGATAAGCCTACCCACCCAAGGGCATACTGCTTATTCCCAGCAGTAAAAAAGGACGGAAGCTGGGGGGCTGCACTTATCAGGTGACTCCAAGGCACAGTTAACCTTCAAGGAAAAGTGTAATTTTGTTCTACATATTCAAACATAGTAATTTGCAACAATCGTGATTTGAGCAAACGCCATTTGCTGCGAAACGCTCACTTCGTTTTTCATGCCAGGAAGGTCAAGTCAGAATTCGCAATGATTTGCTAGCCTCAGTCTGATGAGAAATGGAAGTTTCTAGATATATTGTCTCGTAGTTGCTCTGAGACAATTCCACAAAATTTGCTTCACGGTAGTTTTGCTGAAAGTGGTGACTTTATGCGGTTCCCTATCTTTCCACAAAGTGCTCGGAATCCCCTGTAAGTTCCAGCGTCATCCCACAGGTGTTGACGCATCCCTCGAGCAATATAAATTCTTCTCTAGATAGCCTCTTTGAAAAATGTAACTGGCCTTCATACGTTGCAGAAGAAAGCACAGACCAAAGGCTACAAATCTCGAAACCAACCCTTATTCTTGTGTGATCCCGTTTGCGTAAGGTTGCATATTTCCTTAAGTTAGTAAAAAGTCAAGTCAGCCGTAAGTTGAACTCCAACCGCGGAATAACTACACTCTATATCAGCCGTCCGAAATATTTTGACCAGAATACATCTGGTCACTTTACGTATCATTTCACGTATCAACTCTGATGTGTTCAGATTAAGAAAACTAGCCGGTGAATGTTCGGGATAATATGAAGGCTTTGACGAACGACCACCCCACTAGACTCGTTGAATCGGCAAAAAATGAAGCTCTACTATAATCACACTACGTCATTACCAATGTGTGCGAGAACGACCATAATGGTACATGATCCTCCGGCTGCGAACCAATGGTTTTGCAACTCATTTGTTTTACCTGGCACAAAGCTGCGGACACGCCGATGTGGACTGTAAAATGTTTTTCGCAAAGACAGATTACTCCGAGAATTTGAGCCACAATACATGGCTTAGGAGTTTCTGGATTCCACAGTATTTGAGATATTTTGAGAAGAAAAGAAGACCCGTGAACATTTTTTCAGGTTTTTCTTCCGCTAAATACAAGTGGTGGCTGGGATTTCACTGATTAATTTAATGACGTGAACGTCTGCTAATGGCTCCTCATGAATGAATCACAAGAACAGTGTATTGCCCTGTCAGTTTCACTTAGTTTGCTCGAATTCTCGGTTATCCAGAGCGTCACAGTCACCGTCAAACCTTATGAGTAATTTAAACTGGATGATTTAGGATTGAGTGTGTCAGTTAACCAGATAATAGTTGACCTAATATACAAAGTAAAATAAACCACACCGCATTTTAATGCAAATATAATCAAGATTTGTTATCAGTCAGTGAGTCACTCACCCGGTGAGTCAATCAGTTCATCGGTTGTAAGCCGAATGGCAAATTGCGTTGTATCCGGCTTCCGCAGATTTAGTTAGCAGGATGCGGAATATTTATCCAAGAACTGGAGATGATAGCCTATTTTGGGCACCTGGGCAGTTATGACTACTATTGTAACAAGGCTTTAGGCGCCACTGATTATTCATCTTCTTAAGACAGCGCGTCACTCCTTCATCCCTGAGTGTAGAGCGGACTGCTTGGGGGATATAGTCTGCGTTGACCACTCCATCACGTGGGAGAGCAACGCCATATGCATAGACGACTCGCAAACTTGGAGCTCCTTCACTCGAGTAATGCGTGAGGCTCTCCTGATTTGCCGGGGCTCCTAGCCAGATTTTCTCAACAGAGGATATCTCACAAATTTGTGGAACTAATCACTCCATTTATTCGCATACCTCTGGCCGTGTGAGTGCACGGTGAGCTCTTAAAAGGCTTTTTAAAACAAAGTGGTGTTGCAGACGAAGATATCCAACCTGTACGCTCTCGTTCAACTTCGTTATTGATGAAACGATGAGGCGAACGTGGAAGGTCTTTAAAATCCCAATGTTCAAATCATTGCCGCTGAGATCCTTGTGGACCTGGAGTAACCGGACAACGTCGTGAAGTACGAGCCCTGTTGAACTAACTGACCATCGTCACTCCATCCTCTAGCGTGCACAATGCATCTACAGAGTGCAGAGTCCTGTTTCAGTACGTGCGGCTTGTGAACTTTCTTCTTACAATCTGGTAAGAACCATTGGAAGCTGTGGAGACGTTCAAATAGCTCTAACGGAGGTGTGTCCCGGTTAGGTCAGTGCACAAAATGCATCAATTGTGATGTCAAAATGTTAACCAATGGGCCCCAAATATTGCGTATAGCCGTCTATAATTAGGGCGATGTTGAGAACGGCTGCGAGAAACGCGCAGTGGAAGGTCTTTAAAATCCCAATGTTCAAATCATTGCCGCTGAGATCCTTGTGGACCTGGAGTAACCGGACAACGTCGTGAAGTACGAGCCCTGTTGAACTAACTGACCATCGTCACTCCATCCTCTAGCGTGCACAATGCATCTACAGAGTGCAGAGTCCTGTTTCAGTACGTGCGGCTTGTGAACTTTCTTCTTACAATCTGGTAAGAACCATTGGAAGCTGTGGAGACGTTCAAATAGCTCTAACGGAGGTGTGTCCCGGTTAGGTCAGTGCACAAAATGCATCATTTGTGATGTCAAAATATTAACCACTGGGCCCCAAGTATTGCGTATAGACGTCTATAATTAGGGCGATGTTGAGAACGGCCGCGAGAAACGCGCAGTGTGGACAGATGACATGAGTTATCCTCCGTCCTCATATTAAGATAACTCTGTGTTTGTGCGTGCATGGTGTAGTCATTGGACGAATCTCAAGTGCTCGACTCACGTTTGCTAATTCGCATCACTTGTGGCTTCAAAATTGTGCATCACTAGGCCACAAATTTCGAGTTTTCGAGCTTCCGGGATAAGACTACTGCGAATAGATGATGTAGGGCTTCTTCATTTAGGAGTTGACTTCAAGTTCTCGGTGAACTTTCCATGAGGAGTCCCCTAGTGTGGTCGCATTTTACAGCGCTGAAAAAGAACAATCTCATACTGTAGCTGCGTTCATGAATTCCAAATCCACGGGACGTTCGTATGCCGAATGTTTGTGGTTGTGAACCGTGCATCTCTGTTTTTCGTATGCCCTGACACTAACTCCAGTCTGCCTCATCAAACATATTAGGTACACTCATATCCGCTGAGCAGTGACGCGCTCTTTTGGTCTCCCGTTATTTAAGATGGATCGCTGTCCCGATAGTTACGGCTATCATATCCCAGTGTATTTTGATGCTTTCGCGTTGATCAGACAGTATGCTTACGAAATTTTCTCTCACATTTTCCAACCTGCCTTCCTCCTCCAAATTTAGTGGTATTGTAAAATATTTCGGAAACCGTCGGCTCTCCGGTTGTCCATAATTTCCAGCCTCCCGTTCACAACTGCAATATCTCCACCGACTATGCTATCGCCGGATCCGTTCAACCACATCCGGGCACATTCATTTCCAACAACACACAGTGTGGTTGCTCGCACCGTCGAAAATAGTGATCCTCCAATCCCAGATGTAGCCTCCGAGAAGAACTGCCAGAAACGATTGGATTCACGCATTAGATGGAATCCGGAGACGAGTCTTAAAGGCTAAGTCACTGCGGATATGCTCGAACATGTTGGGTCACCCAGAGCCATCTCCGATCCCCGTTACCTGATATGGCACTGATGAAATGAGCCAGAAATTCTGTTGTGCTTCCTCATACGCACTTCTACCAGCGTGACAGCGATACCCACCACACATTCAGAAAAACAGTCCTATAAAAATTATCAGCGTTTATAACCATGTCGGATCGCGAAGCGAGGAATAACGTGACTGGAAGATTAGGGCGCAACCAATAACCAGCGTCCTACTTCTCAAATACGCATCTACCCACACGGAACTCATTCGATGTGTAGGTAAGCAACAATAAACTAACCTCCTGGAATGGTAAACTCCCGCGTCGCCTCCACACCGTCGCCATTTTCATTCTGCCCACGCACGCCAACAACCAGAGGCACACATGTTGGCAGGTTGGGCACCGTGGTTGCATGTTCAGTTGTTTCGATAGCTTGGATGATCGGGGTGAGCTCGCGATCGTAGACTGTGAGGTCCTGCGTGCGTGCTATACATTCGGACGAGTACTTCCACGACACGGCTACCTCAGTCGCACCGACATTCGGGTGCACGACCAAATCGACCTTTCAGGGACTTCGGGTGCACGACCAAATCGACCGGACTTTCAGGGACTAAATATCAGACAAATTGGACGTTCTGATTAGTTGCGTGGGAAAACTATCTGACCATAATTTCCCATTTCATTGTACATAGAAACAACCGTGCAGAAAACATGAAATTCCATCGGATTTATCCCCACATCCCCACATTGTTCGGACACCATAGGATGTCGAATGATGGAATCCTGTGAAAGCATATATCACACACAAATAACGGCTTTTGTCCAGTTGAGGAGAGCGTGTATTACCCAAGGGAGATTGCTATCTGTCAAGAGGGTTGATGTAAGCATTGTCCTAGTCATTCAACAGAGACAGACCATTATCCGTGTGTTTTCGAGTGTCTTACATAAGCAAAGTGAACTTCAGCTCACTTCCTCATGTAACGTCTTCACGCGGAACATGATCGCTTGCTCTGCCCACCACATATCCGACAGACTCCTGTCGCCCACATGCTGATCAAATTGATCAACACTCGCCTCGACAACATATGCAAAGTGGGTGGGTCACAAGGGGAATAGGGGCGTTTCTGGCTAGTCACTCCAGTGTCCAGGTACACAGTGGTTACTCTTCAGTGATTGATTGATTGCTTGACTGGTTGAGTGATTGATTGACTGGTTGATTGATTGATTGATTGATTGATTGATTGATTGATTGATTGATTGATTGATTGATTGATTGATTGATTGATTGATTGATTGATTGATTGATTGATTGATTGATTGATTGATTGATTGATTGATTGATTGATTGATTGATTGATTGATTGATTGATTGATTGATTGATTGATTGATTGATTGATTGATTGATTGATTGATTGATTGATTGATTGATTGATTGATTGATTGATTGATTGATTGATTGATTGATTGATTGATTGATTGATTGATTGATTGATTGATTGATTGATTGATTGATTGATTGATTGATTGATTGATTGATTGATTGATTGATTGATTGATTGATTGATTGATTGATTGATTGATTGATTGATTGATTGATTGATTGATTGATTGATTGATTGATTGATTGATTGATTGATTGATTGATTGATTGATTGATTGATTGATTGATTGATTGATTGATTGATTGATTGATTGATTGATTGATTGATTGATTGATTGATTGATTGATTGATTGATTGATTGATTGATTGATTGATTGATTGATTGATTGATTGATTGATTGATTGATTGATTGATTGATTGATTGATTGATTGATTGATTGATTGATTGATTGATTGATTGATTGATTGATTGATTGATTGATTGATTGATTGATTGATTGATTGATTGATTGATTGATTGATTGATTGATTGATTGATTGATTGATTGATTGATTGATTGATTGATTGATTGATTGATTGATTGATTGATTGATTGATTGATTGATTGATTCGCTCGTACTGGAAGCTAGCAACAGCTATTCAACCCAGGGGCAACAAAGCTGGCCAATTCGAATGGTACAGTTTGTGGCTTTGAAGTGTAGGATCGAATCCACGTCAGTCGGTGCTGATCCGAATCCGTGTGTGTCTACACGTTCTGAGCGTGAACCAGTCGTGAGTAATGAGTGTGGATCTGGTGATTCACGCGACGATATGGTGGTAGTGAGGGCGAGGTGTGTGAATATTGACCAACCACCGTGAAGAATTCGCGCCTGACATTTCAGATACACAGTTTGAAGACGGCTGGAATTTATGGGACCTGTGACATGTTTTCTCGCCTATTGGGCTGCGTGACGTTCGCAGAAATAGGAAAATGTTGAAGAACTCTATCACCAGCCTAGAAGAACTCATGTAAGGAAACTCAACCGAACTTGATTTGCAGCTGCTTGAATTAGGGGAATTACCATATTCCTCACAAGACTATTCACAACCTATTAAAGGAAACTTAGTTCATGGCGGTGGTCGTATGTACAGGTTGCGCTATTAGAAGTGGACGAGGTGGGACATTTCCAACCTGTGAGCAAAAGAAACGGAGGGGAATAGAGGAGCAGCGTTCGAATGTACAAGCGCGCCACTGGTTCGATATAATCACAAATTGGATGGAACCTACCTCCGGAAACTGCAACTTCCTCCAAGGTCTCCCGCCCGATCCCAAGGGAATTATGTCCACGCACGCCTACAAGCAGACGCATACATGTCGGGACGTTCGTCAGTGTGGCTTGATGCACCGTAGTTTCAGTGTTCGGGATGACATTTTGACCGTTCTGATTGTACACAGCCAGGGTAAATTTGGTTGCGGCACAGTAAGATGTGCTCTTCCATGTGACGAATATTTGGCGGGCCCCAGGGTCTGGGTACGTACTCACTTGTTCTGGGGGTTCGGGAACTATGATGTAGAAGACGGGAAGCGCTACATCGGTGAGTTCATAAATAAGTGTTTTCGATATGTGTTTTGCCATGTATATGTTTGGTGATATTTACGACTGGACTGTGCCATTCCGAATTGTTTTTGCAACACATCGTGTCTAATTGATTTCCGAAAGTGAAGTCTGATATCATGTCGAATTAGTTTGTTGCTCGTTGATCACTCTTCTCAAGTTGTTCGCGGTATTTGCGCACAAAATATTTGGATAAAATTTATATGCATTCATCGAATATGCGGATGTCTGTAACGCATCCTTCCTGTATCATTTCACCTCGAACTGGAACGTACTTGCGTTGATGAAAGTGCCCGGGCATTATTTATTCATGGTAGTATGGTACACAAAACTCTTGTTATTAGAATTGTCTGCACTCACCGCAAACCGGAGCAGCTATACAACGGACATGGTAAGAGAGTGATCATATGAGATTACCATTGTGTAAGAAGGGATATTTGAACTTGACGAAATTTATGTCGAGGAATCTATGATTTCATCTTCCTCGAGTTTCACTAATTTGTGGTATATATGGTATAGTATAGTATAGTATAGTGGTAGTATGGTACTATATATTGAATATTGAGATCAGCTGTTGAATACTTTCGCTCGACAGTTACCGGAAGACATGACCTGACAAAAACAGGGGAGTGCATGAGTTCGGTTGGGATGACGTCCAAATACTTGCAAATTCATGAGATCAGAGAAAGAAGCCTACCAGAAATAGAAGGATACGCAACCAACCAATCGATTTAAAATAAACTAGGCCACAACGCAAGAAGGAAACAAACCAGCCGCAAGGGAATATCAGGGTGGCTGAAATGAGGAGAGTCGAAGAACAACCGTGTTTGAAGAAATGCGAACACAAGTCGAATGAGACGCCGCACTGACTAATCAAATTACACGGAAGTGATTTCACGGTCAACAAATCACCTAAGAACCTTGGGACAGTGTTTAGTAACTATATGAAATGGGACAAAAGCGGAAGCTTTCTCCACACGCCTTCGCCTTCCGTTGATCACTATCGAACCGTTCGCAATCCAACTAAGAAGTTCGTGGAACAGGTGAGTATCCAGGGGGCACACGTGAACTACCCAAAGATCGCTCGTTTGGCAATTATCCTCGACCTCGTTGGGCAGGATGTACGGTCAACGATTACCCACAAGATAAGCAGTTATTGCTGAAGCATTCACGCTTCCAGAAGCATGTTGAAATTTGGACAGTAGAGGCAGGTAAAAAGTGAAATCATGTGAAAATCATGTCAATGCAGTCGGGGTGGAAATCTTGGAAAAAATTCAGACACCTTCACGAATGACCGTATGTGTTGAAGTCGGGTCCTCAAAATCACACCAGGGAGGTCAAATGTCTTCCCAATCGTGTGATTTATAGAACGTGTGTGTGAATACTTACGCACTCTGGTCGAGTGCATGTTGGTGAAGCGACAAAATGGAAGCCTAGTTGGACCGGCTTCTTAAACTGTAGGCCACTGAAAACGGATGTAACAAACTAGCGATTCCAGGTTGATCCTCGGGACTCAGTCTTCAACTTGGAAGAGGGTCAAACACACTATGGACTCACGTCCACTTCACTCACTCACTAAGCAGTACCCCTCCCGTCATGAGGCTTCATTAAGACAGTCGTCTCATTCAGCTGTGATACCCTACCGGAGCCTGGCTGTCATGCCAAACTAAGGAAGCGTGAGGGCCAAGATACTGCGACACTTGATCTGATGAGATATTGCTTCATAATGGCTCAAGGTAATCGGAAATTTTTCCAGTCAGTCAGATGTGCCGGTGTGAGTGTACCCACTGAACACAAGCCCAAGGTAGCCTCTCAGCGTTCTAGGCGGCTACGACTAACATGTACAGTCTGAAACCAGATGCAAGCATTACCAGTATGCAGATGTACATGGATCGAAGTGAATCAAAATTGAAACTCACCATCCAGGGCCGATGAAATGGCGATGAGGCCGATTACGATCGTGTAACTGCGCATGTTCTGAACGGGCGTTTGTCGGTATCAGATTATCACCACTTAAATTCGGTACACTCTGAATGCCCGAAATCAGTTTTACTCTAATTACGTTCCTCCCCACCGGGGTTCGACAAATTCCACACTGCCAGTCAGTTGTTGGTTGTTTTTGAACTGTCCTCTCATGAAACTGACCAATCAGGGGCCTGGCAATCTTAGCTTACGTCATCCTAATTATAACTTAACCTCATGTAATTATACACAGGTATCGAACAAGAACGACTATCAAGTGTCTCCCACATTCACAGTAAAACGAAGCATATGATTAATTTCTCATGTAATTATGCACAGGTATCGAACAAGAACGACTATCAAGCGTCTCCCACATTCACAGTAAAACGAAGCATTTTCTATGATTAATTTTTTCAGCGGAAAAAACGAAAATCAAGATGGAATACAGTATGATGCACTCGGGCAGTTGGTCGAATACGTTTTTAGAAAGCGATTGTTCATAGGCCAGGCCATTTTGAACGGCGGATTTGCAGGCTCACGAGGAATCGCCGAATGTATTCCGTCAATGCAACCTTTAAACGAAGCCTCGTCTATTAGATTGAAACAACAGTACCAGACTTTTGGCTACAGACCTTCAGACATGGCTCACATGCAAACGTCCGATTTTAAGTGACCTTTAAACACATGGTTCTACAGGTTGCTCAAAACGCAGTTTCCTGAACTTATTGTTTTTATTTGTCAGAATTAGTCGAGTAAATTTTGAGACGGAAAAAACACTGGCTGGCTGCGTGAGTCAACAAAACTCTAACCATTATATTTCACGGTGGATGACACGACAACATATGACACCGCGTAAGGTCGGAGGCTCTGTGAACCGTGGAGATGTTAAAACACTTCCTCGGTCACGGCACGACAGTGCAACAGTTATTGGCTATTGGAAAAAAATTTAACCAAACTGTTTTTGGCACACAGTTTAAAATGAGACACAGATCACTGTTGTCCCAGAAGGGTGATATACCCAAAGATTCGATCGGTTAGACGCGTTGTTTTTTGAAGGCCAGTGGGAACGCCCACGAATTGATGACAGGTGAGCAAAGCTGCTCGAATGTCGCCAGTGTGGTTTTATTCAAAACATTCCCGTCTCAATACATTTACCTAATGTGCTACACCCGTCTGAAGTAAGAAATATGAATCTTTCTTGAAAATCTAAAACGCTTCACTCTGACAAAACTATCATAATTAAACCATTCTTCAAAAGTCAAGTACCGTGTTTATACCCGAATACGGTTGTCGTTTCAGTCATTGCACTCAGTGACCTAGAGATCAGCCGTTGGTTAGGGCGCAAACCTCCTAATCGGAATGTCCACCAACTGGTCACGGTACCTCGCCTGTTCCTGACAGGTTCTAGAGAAGCTGCAGGTATTTCAATTCTGGCACTTTTTTCGGAACGCGTGGTGCCAATAAGGTATTCGCCTATATCCCGCCCACCCAACCCACTCCACTGTCCTTTACCGGATGTAAATCCGCAAAGCAGTATAAAGAAATTGACGGCATGTAGTAGTCACTCACGCTCCCTGGTAATGCACCAGTGTGCAAACCTCTGTATCGTGATGTCCGCAAACAACGGTGACGGAATTCACGTCGAAACGTTCAGTACTGTGCTCCACATAGACAGAGGTAAAGATGAGTATATTTCAAATTTTCAAAAAACAAAACTGCCGGGACCAAATGAATTCGGTAATTTGGAAACAGCACAAGTAATTCCAATGCCAAAAATATTGCCGTCGAAACTTTCCGACAGGAAATCTTCTATTTCCTACAGCAATAACATTTCTACAGAACGTTATTCCCGAGCACATTTGTTCACTGAAGCCCTGCATACTCCGTCTCAATAACGGAAGTCGTTCAAATGTTAAAGGTGAGTCCTGGTCTCATTGGTTACTGACTAATTCGTTCTAAGTTCCGGCTAATATTCTGTGTCTTATGTGATAAACTACTGACCATATGGGGACTTGGACGAACCGATGAGTTTGGCCATGTACGCTCTACAAAAGAAACTAGACGGATGCAGAAGCCCTTCAACGTGTCTCTTCTCAAAGTGCATCGAAAACAAACTAACAGTACAGATATTTTTGTCTCGTGATAACACGACAGTTTCGCACGCAACAAAATATGAAATGAATTCATGCCAAACACTAACACAGAGCACGATAACAATTTGCTGTCTACACATGTCCGATTAGTTCCTGTCGACAAAACATGCTTCGCACGATCGATATGTATGTCTTATGGTATTTCGCGAGCACAAAGAAAGCCACAGTGAAGAGGTTCAATCCAGCTTGCGTCATTATGCGATTGACTGAAACTAAAACCAATCTTAGGACAAACCGTTTTGTTGGGACCCTTGAAGAGCTTGCAGCTGTTTACCGGCGATGTCTGCCTTCCTGTCTGGTTGATTTCTAGACCTCAAGCTAGATTGAACCTTCAGAACGTATATACTTCAAGTGAGAGACCCCCTCATATTTCACTTGGTACAATAACCACAATATCCTGATACGGTAAACACAAAGTCCAACTGGGTATCTCGATAACACCAACTTAATTTGCTAGTGATTGCGCAAAACTCGGTATTCGAATGAAGCATAAAGTCGACGGAAATGTGTGACTGTGTGATGGACCCCTAGGAAGCGTGAAGTCATTTGTGGACTGTCGAATGGCTTTAACCAAATTTCTGGCTGGCGCCTAGCGTTAATTGAAACAATAAAATTGACTGCTAAATCAGTAGCCATCACTCTGTTCAAGAACAGTAGACAGTATGAGGTAGCCACCCTGATATACCGTTTTATCACCACAAAGGGCAGTAATGTTGACGTCCCAGTTGAGCTCGTTCGTGGACTGAATTTTTCTATCTGTGGCAGACGTTCACTTTGACCACCTTAACTGCATTCAGCATAAGTAAGTCGACGCTAGCTGGTTGCTCATCTAAAGTGCTAGATAATCAGATGACATGAACATAAACACAGTGTTTTTTCAACCGTAGCATTCAGGGTATGTTAGTG